GACAGCTGCTGCCCCGCCCGCCCTCGCGCCTTCCCCCGCGTGTCAAGCCCCCCCCCCTGCGGCCCCGCGCGCCTCCTGCGCAGGAGAGCGCTTCTTGTTCCCCTAAGCGATGGCTTGCGCGATGACGCCCACGTCTGCAGCCGTCCTCGAGCGCGGGGTTGTTGGTATTCATGCGCGGAGCGCACCCTCTTCCGCATCAAGGGCGTTATTCACATGTGGCACGGGCGCGCGATTTTGATGTGCGGCGACACTTCCCCCGCCCTCCCTGGATACCGCCGCGGCGTCGACGGCGATGACGTCTTCCATGATTGCGCGCCCTCCTCCACCTTGTCTATCGCCACTCTCGTCTATCCGGAGGCCTCCACCTGTCCGCCTGAACAACTTCCTCTTCAACGACGCATCGTCCTCTTTGTCGAAGTCGATTTCGTCTCGCGTCGCCACCCTCTCTGGCACCCAGTCTTCATCGTCGACGTAACTTGCAAGTGAGGGGCCGCCTTGGACGACCTTCCTCTTCTTGTTGGCCACTTGGCGGCCCTTTTTCTCCCGGACCGCCGCTTCTGCTGCCAGGTTGGTGGCGGACTTGCCGCGTCCAAAACCACGGGACGACATGGCGCACAACACACCCACTTGAAGCTTGATCACCCGCAAAGTCGAGATCTCCGCTGCATTGGCGAAACGTGCCCTGCGCTTCGAAAGATCGTCTCCACTGCGATGGCGGCTATGGCGATGATGGCGACGTTGTCGACGACGACCCGATAGACGTTGGCGACGACGGCCCGCAACGGTGACGAAGACGACAGCAGTGACGACGGGAGAGACGGCGACTATGGCGATGATGGCGACGATGGCAGTGACGATGACGAATATGAGTTGCGCACTCCACGGCGGAAGAACGTGACGATGACGTTCACAGGTCCCATGTTGAATGCGGCGACGACGACGGTGGAAGCCCCCGTGCGTTGAAGAAGGCGACAGCCACGATTGTGGTGACGATGACAACGATGGCGGCGAAAGCAATGATGGTGACGAAAGCGATGATGGCGACGAAGGTGACGAAGGTGGTGAGGATGACGAAGGTGGTGAGGATGACGACGATGACGTCGGAACGCACGCAGACGACGGCGTCGAGTGGGCTTCGTAGCGCGCGCATAAGACAGCGAACCCGCCGCAAGGCTAGGATCGTCCAAGAAGGCGGAGTGCAGCGTGCAACTACCTTCGTGCCATTGAGAAAAGCAAGCGGGGAGAGGAGGCAGAAGCATGTGAAGGCGAGATCGCCCTCCCATCGATAAGATGGTGTCATAGGGGTCCTCGCGGACGGCCAAACGAAAGGCCAAGGGTCGCGGGCTAGACTGGCGTGCATCCGTCACCCCGCCATCGATCTTCTCGCCACCCTTCCTAAATTCTAGACACGGAAGAACCCCCCGCCCGTAAATCCTGCACCCATAACAGTCGCTATCCCCGTCCCCCGCCGAAAGAAACTCCCTGCCGGCCAGGAACGTACCGAACCACGAAACTCACCTACCCCCCCCCCCCCCCCCCCCCCTAACCTACATATTGGGGGGGAGGGGTTAACAACCCCCCCGACATCGACCTTCGACAACCGCCACCCCACCCGAGGATTGACAACGGCAAGAAATAAGAAAAAAGGAAAACAACATATTTTAAAATCTCCAGTTGTAATGACTGGACATCCACATTCAGATGACGATTTGCAATGAACACAAGCAGGGCATCTCCATCGATGACTGTGTGAGGGTATTCACGATATGAACAACGGCATTCCATAGATGGACAGCATTAAAGACAACACCTTTATTACACCTTTGCATTTCATTCGAGGAGAGGACACCAAAACACATGCAGGAGAGAGAGAGAGAGAGAGAGAGAGAGAGAGAGAGACAAAAACAGAGAGACAGAGGGAGAGAGAGAGAAGTACATAGATAGAAAGGGAGAGAGACAAAGCAAATCCAAGTCGTCATTTAAAAAACGAAAGTGCATAGTGCACTTCATCGCCGCCAATTCAAATTAAGAGATGACGGAATTATTCATCCCGCCATACGACAAAATCCTACGACAAACGAATAAAAATAAAAAAACAAACGTTAATGTCCACAGGAGGAGTCATCCAGCCAATCGGGGAAACACCCACTTCCCTGGCCAGCGCGACCAATTGGGAACCGCCACGTCAGCGACGGCCCGGTGACGGCAGAAAGGCTCTCACTTTCGCGTCGTTCGTATCCATGGAAGCCACAATGCGCACAACAGAGGTGGCACGAACTCTAACGCTCGCGGATGGCCTTCGCTATCTCCAGCAGAGCGTGGCACATCAGTTTGCTCACTTCGCCAGACGCTGCGTAGTGCTGTTTCTGCACTTCGACCTCCGCTTCCAACACCTCACACTGCTGTATTTGGATGGAACACTGGCGCTTGCTGTTGCTCTTCATCGTCAATGCCATTAGCGCACCGTGCTTCTCCATCCATTGTGTCATCGCTTCGAAAGTTTGTTGCCTCGTGCTCTTCCTCTTGCCGAAACCGCCAGGGCTACCCGTCGTTTGAGAAGATCCTTTCGTCGACCCGTCGTCGTCGTCGTCATGCCCTGCCCCAGCGTCCCTATCGCCCAGAGATTCATGATCTGCAGAAGAGGCGGACGGCAGACGCACACCACTCGGAGCACCAGTGGCGGCGACGTTCTTCGGGTTTATGGTGTGGTTCTTGGCGGTCGACCCCAGTATCTCGTCGTAAACCGCACGATCCATGTTGAAATTGAATCCCTTGGACGCCCTCTCCTTCCCAAAGAATTGGAAGCAGTCTTGTTTCCTAGACAAGCCTTGGAAGTGATGCACCTTCTTGAACTGCTGCATCAAATTGTCCCACTTCTTCCCGCACCGATGTGCGTCTCTGTCCACGCCCACGTTCTTCAACCTCTGCGCCACATCCCACCACTTTCATTCTCGCGGCTTCATCCGAGCGTACGCGTGACCCATCCCCTACAGATGCGCATCCTGGTCACGTTTAGCCCAGATGAGGGCTATGATGGACTGGACGGACCAGAAATGACGACCTCCTTTCGCCTTAACGTGACCTTCCGCATCGCTCCCCTTCCCCACCGCTTTTTTCCTCCGACGACCATTGCGGGCACACGCCTTCGTCTTCCCGCCCCTCCCTCCCACGCTGCTTTGCTTGAACGGCAAAACGTAGCCTGCGTCCTCCTCCCCATCTTCGCCGTCGTTGTCGTTCCACTCCTGATCGTCCGCGTCCACCAATGGTGCGTCGCCGTCGTTTTCTTGCTCCCCCACACGCAGCCGTTACACCCCCCGAGTTATGGATTCCTCCCGCCCCGACCGGAGCCCCCGTCGGTGTTCTGCCCACACCTCCCTCCTGTCCCGTGCATCACCAAGATCGGCGATGCCACAATCCGTCTCCCCGTATTCGCCACGACGGCGGGCTGCACTCGAACTGGCGGACAAGGGAGACAAAGACTACATCCACTGGGGGCGACCGGAGGCACCCCTCGACACAGACAACGACCGGAATTGCTGCCTCCGAGGATCCTTGTTGTTCCCCCACGCCTCCAAGACCGGCGCTGGAGACTTCGATGATCACGCAACAATCGTCACTTGCCCGCCGTCGTCGTCGGGATGGGGGTGACGATGACCTTTCGCGAGGCGGCCGACAACCTCCCGCTACACAGCCCGAACGACAGATTCACGCTGCCATCGCCATCGGCGCCGCTGAGCCCCTGCTGGAGAAGTTCAGTGTAGGACTTGCCATAACCGCCGGCGCGGCTTCCACACAGCTTTGTAGCCGCCCAATCCTGGGTGGACCCACTTCCCAGCGGCACGGTCCGTGTCCGTCTGTCATCCGCCTCCTCGTTGGACATGTCCGGCAGAGGTTGCAAGTGTGGTGGCAGGTGCGCGTACCCAGACCGCTCCAACGGCCTTGAACTCCTCGACGGGCTCTGCCCAGCCCGCTGGCCACCACCCTACTCCCCTGCAGACCTGCACATCACCTGGTGCCCCTCCATCCTAACGTCCTTTTTCAAAGACCGTCTTCTGCGGGCACGTCGCGGAACGCTGCCGAGGATGCACACGTGGAAGACAACTAAGAGGAGGAGCAAGAGGACGACCAGCACCAGCAGCGGCAGCCTCCGAAAGACGTCGGCCATGAAAGGCACGTGGACAATGACACTAGCTAGAAGACAACAGTGGATGTCCAGGAAACGGCGAGGGACAGTGGTGCGAACGGCCGATCGCAGCTATCGACAAAAGCAGGGTAACGTATTCCGTCACGGAAGACACTGCGCAATGCGGAGAGCGGGGCCCGACTGAAGTATTCAAATCTGCCGACCGTTGGGCGCCTTCCCGCTCGGGGCCAAGGGCAGCGACGCAAGGCAGCCCCTTTTCGACGTCCCGAAGGCTGGCAGGCCGCCAAAGGCGACCGTTGGCAGACAATTCCATGACGCCGACAGTTGCCGACCGAAGATGTCTGTCCACGGGCCGCCAGGAACAACAATGGACCAGCCGCGTCCAAAATTGTCGTCGACGGAGCTGCCGTCGGCGCCCCGATTCTTCCGGATGCTCGACCTCCAAGGGACCTCGGGAGGTCCCTTGGGGAACGCGTCGAAATGGCTGTAGCCCAAGGAATCCCCGAGGAATCCCCGAGGAAATGTTTTCACATTTTTTTCAATTTCTTCCCCGAGGATAAGTGGAATGATGATCTCCTCGGGGGATTTACGCGCCCGAGGAGTGTCGAAGGAGCCCCTAAGACCTCCCCGCGGCGGAAAGCTTTGCATTCATTTCACCCCAAACAAGGCAAAAGGTGTCACAGGCCCCAAAATGACTTTTCCTGTCATCGTTGCACTCTGGCTGGGCCGGTAAAGCCCGCTGTGCAAAAATGCCAGGAAAGTGTTTTGAGGCCTGCGGCACTTTTTGCCCCATTTGGGAGGAAATGAATACAAATGTTTCCCCGCGGGGAGGCTTTATAACGTTTCCCAAGGAAAAGCAGTCCAGACTCAGAAACGAAGAGGAAAGACCACTGGAACCACAGAACAGAGTTTCACAGCATTGGGTTTGATTCCTACCGTCTTCACCCGAATAGAACGCCCGGTCATTATAGCTGTATTTGGGGCAACCTTCAGTCTAGATACAGCCCTTCAGTCTAGATACAGCAATAATGACCGAGCATTCTATTCTGGTGAAGACGGTAGTCCACAAGTCTATACAGGCCCCGGGTCTGTGGGTCTTGGCCCCAGATACTGCAGGACACAGAACAGCAATGCCATGGAAAATAAAGGGTCCAGGGCTAGAGGGAAGTTACGACGTAGAAGCTAGGGGAGAGACAGCTATTACTGCATATAGACTAAGAAAACTGTTTTTGGCCGAACGCGTCAGAATCAACTCCTCCGGGAGACTACTGGATGTCACTGTCACTCTCCAGTCTGAGACAACTAAACTAGATCTGTCGCAGAAAGGAACACCAGGAGCTATTGATGGGAAAGTCTCAAAAATAGCGCTTCTGCGGTAGTTTCACAGCAAACATAGTGCGGGGGCCCAAGTTTCGTTGCAAAAATACATCTTTCATTGCAGCTTTAGAGGTCCCGGTCGTTTCACAGCAAAAATATATGCCGGCGGGGTCCCACTCTCGTTGAAAAAATACATCTTTCGGACCTCAACAACATATCTCTGCTTGGAAACTTCAAAAACGCGATATTTCTGGAATTACCCCTTGTTCTAATCAGGGCAGACCTTTCAAGGACACTCTGATAGACCCAGTGAGTCACTGACCCTCCGACCCCAAGCAGCAGCTAGGTGAATCTGCACATCTAGATCCCCAACAACAGCTGAGGTTACAGGAAGGCGCTACCCATTCCAGCATGAGCCCAACGTCCTCCACCGTGCAAGCACGGATTTGAACCGGCAACCTCGGCCTCAAGAGCCAGGTAAGAGACACACTACGGCAGACGAGCACCCTAACAGAATACATACCGATCCCAAGATAGGCACCACAGCAACCCTTCGAAAACGTGCTATTTCTGCAATTGCCTCTTGTTCTAATCAGGGCAGACCTCAGAAAACAGGTAAGAAACTTGAAGAAAGAAGAAAGAACTGATCGAGCTGGTGACGGAGAGAAGGCAGGAACAAGCGCTGCCAAAGACACATTGTTAAGTTTCAGCTCATAGTCTGTGGAAGCAATTAAAGAAACTGCCCTCACAGAAGCTAGCCAGTGGCACTATGGTTACAGTCTTTACTGATAATAACTGTTACAGCCTCCGGAGTTACCTTTTTGTTTTTTTCCCCCTTTTCATTTTCCAAAGGACAACGGCCTTGAGGTAACATCTTTGAGTCCTTCGGGACATCCGTTAAAATTGGAACGATACATAGAAAGAAGATTAGCATGGCCCCTGGAGAAGGATGACCCGCATAAATCGAGAAATGGTGCAATTTTTTTCAAAAAAAAAAAAAAAGAGAGATCATCTTTAAACTGACAGCCCCCAGGTAATTTAGAATGATTTTATTCTGGTGAATCTGGTCATGTGATTGTATCTGGATTCGAACTTGGGTCTGTATGTCGACAGTTCATGGGTGTACCAACTGAGGTATGCCCATTGGTACCTCCACAGTTACCTTAGCTGCACATGGAATGAAGACCTCCACACTGTCCACAGTCTGCTGCAGATGTAATTGGGCATGGGAAACCACAAGACACCTCCGGACCATCTGTCCAATCTCCATAGGTATGTGGAAATGGTGGGGAAACTCTGGCAGACGTACTCAGACAAGTCACTGCAATGGGGACGAGGAGTGGATCATTTCTGGAATCCTAGCCCTAGAAAATGGGAAAAGTTATAACCCTCCCCTCCCCCCCGTAACAAAACCTTTGTATTTATTTCCCCCCAAACGGAGCAAAACGTGCCGCAGGCCCGAAAATGACCTTTGGCGTCATTTTTGCACCCTGCGAAACACTTTCCCACCATTTTTGCACAGTGGGCGTTACCGGCTCAGCCAGGGTGCAAAAATGACAGGAAAAGGCATTTTGGGGCCTGCGAAGCCTTTTGCCCCCTCTAGGGTGAAACGAATACACAGGTTTCGCCGTGGGAGGGTTTATAACTTTTCCCCTAGAAAATCCCAGCCGGGTCAGGTACGGCCTGTATTGCCCAAATGTGCAGAGCAATTGTTATGGCCGAACTCTGCCGGGACAGATGCAACTGTTACAACACACAGAATGCAGACGCCCTACACCAGGCGGCTATGAAGAAGAGAATCAGCAATACCATCACTGCAATGGGACGAGGAGTGGATCCTTTTTGGCCTCCAAAAAACAGCCAACTCAGGTGCAGGCTATGCCCCTCGCTCCACTATCCTCGATATGCACAAAAGGAAAAAACAATGGCCGTGTATCTTTCCATCGTCTAGCGGAAGATTCGCCCTCGCTTTGCACATTTCGAGAGTTACTGTAGTGGAGCGAGGCCCTATATTGCCCAACCGTGCAGAGCAATTGTTATGGGAGAACTCTGGCGGGACAGATCCAACTGTGTTTTTCAGAACACAACACAGACTGAAGACGCCCTATGGCAGGCGGCTGTGACGGACCCGCCTGGATGGCGGTCCCCCAGGCAGGATCAAGACGAAGGGGTGAGGATGAGGGAGATGGTGATGGAGCTGGAAGAGGGACAACGCAGCTCCGACGCAGACTCGACATTTTCAGAATACAACACAGAATGAAGACACCCTACAGCAGGCGGCTGTGACGGATCCACCGGGTTGGCGGTCCGTCAGGATCAAGATGAACTGGTGAGGATGATGGAGATGGCGATGGAGCTAGAAGGGACAGCGCAGCTCCGACGCAGACTCAACACGCACGTACTCCAGACTGTGCAAATGAAGAATGACCCAAGAAAAACAGACTGCAGCTGGGGTATACCCGCAGCGGACGGACTGGACCGTACTGGACCGGACTG